CGGGACTCGATCCCAGGACTCCAGGATCATGACCTGAGCCGAAGGCAGTCGCTTAACCAACTGAGCCACCCAGGCGCCCCCCAAAGGGAACTTTTAGATACTGACTGGCAAGCATTGCTCATTGCCTGAAACGCGGGGGTCACAGAAGGGGCGGGTAAGGCAGAGGGCACATGGGGTCCCCAGTATGGGGCCCTGTCCATGAGGTTGGCTCTCTGAACAGCACCCAGGCCCCCTGACAGTGCGAGCCAGTTCTCTGTGCTGGAGGGACAACACTAGCTCTTTGTCTCCCAGACTGGGCAGGGTGAGGGGACGCCCTGGCCTGGGGGGTCCTCCTTCCCACAGGGCTGGCGATAGGCCTGGGGCTTTGGGAGCTAGCCAGAAGCAGTTTCCACGAAGTTGTTGACACCTCCCGGGAGGGAGACATCTGGGGGAAGGAGGGAGGCGGAGATGGTGCTCCCGGCCTATATCCAGCCTGCAAGCCCAGGGCCTGGGCTCCCTGCTCGTCTCAGCCTCTCTGTGGGGTGAGGGCCTCAGCCTGGCTACTCTGGGCCTCTCCTTCTCCTTCCCCACACATCTGCCACAAAGGACAGGGAGGCAGCAGAAGGCAAAGTGCGCCCCCCACCCCGCAGGAAGCACACACCTACTCCTTGGATGAGGGACCAGGACCCTCTGTGTCCCCTTAGTTCCCCACTCCGCGTCCTAGAAAGGAATGGAGACAAGTCCTGCCATGGGCAGCCTAGAGACAGAAGAGCAATCTGGTTCACTTCCCTTGGCTCCTGGAACATTCTGTCCTGTTGGCTTTGCCCTCGGTGAGCACGAGCCCCTCTCTGCCATGTCCCCCTCCCCTAGCCACCCGAGGCTTCCATCAGCTCCGCTTGTCGTTCTGAGGCCCCAGGGACAGGGAAGGGGACCATGCCAAGGCCCTCCTTCACCCCAGCCCATTCGACTCTGCTCAGGGGTCACGCAGGAATCTGAGGGTGGCTCTGGGAAGGCCCTGCTCTGCGCTCAGGTTCTCTCCACATGCTGGTCTCCCACGTGGCTGGGACAGCTCCTTGCCACGGCTTCCTTCCTTCAGCCTCTCGCTCTGGGCAGGGGCGGCGGGGGGGGCGGTGATGGCAGCCTCCTTTCTCTGCCCCGCGCCCCCTCCCACGAGAACCTTGGGTGGCGTTTAGCCCCGCACCAGGTCAGGGCAGCGGGAGCGGGGACACAGCAGGGGTGGTCAGCCGAGAGGGCAGTGTGCCAAAGGCATTTTATTCATGGTCTGCAGGGCAGAATTACAGAACTGAGGAGGCCAGTCCCTCCCTGCCCCAGACCCTTGATCTCGGGGGGATGACAGACAGAAGGAAGTGTTTGTGGACAGGAGCTCCCAGGGCTGATGGAGAAGTGCGTGGAGGGCCGGGCAGAGACTGGGGCTGTGGCCTGGAGGAGGGGTCTGGGCCCAACAGTCTGGGCACACTGACTCCTGACCCCCCCAACCCAGATGCCCACTTTCTCCCTAATGTGGGCAACTGTGGGGTGCTCGGCCCCCTCGAAGAAAGTGGAGATTAAGAATGTCTCCTTAATCTGATTAACAATTGGGTGGGAAGGGAGGGGGCCCCCACCTCAGTCTTCCCCACCCCTGCAATGCCCCCTACCCCCTTTTGTCCATCTCCACCCCTTCAAAGCCTCCTGCAATTTAAACCCATTTCCGGGCTGGGCAAGGCGCAAAGCCAGAAAGGAAGTAGATAAGAGAAGGGACGGAGTTTGGGGGACCCTTCCTCCCATCTTCTCCCCACCTAAGGAGGATCCAAGGGCCACACTGCCTTGAAGTTCCCCAGCTGGGGGGACACGGAGCTTTTGTCCCCAGTTTTGGGTCTGTGAATCTCTGAGGAGAAGACCTCCCTGGGATCCAGGTGTCCCTGTGCCCCAATGGGACAGGGCTTTACCTCCAGCCCCTGGGGCCTCAGGGACAAGAGCCGGAGCCTCTCACCAGCCCCCTGCCCCAGCCCAGCCAACAAGGGGAGCCCCGGAAAGGGGCGGGTCACTGGGGGGCCCCCGGGCCCTGGGAGCAGGGTGTCTGGCTTGGAGGTCCCTGGGAACTGCCGCTCTGGCGGGACATGGGGTAGGAGGGGCCCTGAGAGGCGGGTCCAGTTGGTGGGGAGGGAGGGCAGGAGGGGAGGGGTGAAGGAGGCAAGACTGGGCGGCTTGTCTTGGGGGCTCCCCAGAAGACAACAAGGGCCAAGCTGGAAGGGGACCGGGAGAGAGCCAAGGCCTGGAGAGAGAGAAAGAGAGGGCATCAGGAGGGATGCCCCGCATCTCCACCCATTTCCCATTTCTTTTTCCTCTTGATGGAAACTTCCTCTCCCCCCTTCCTGTTTTCTTTGCTTTGAGTCTATTTCCTGGGGGCAGCCTGGGTGCGCCCCTTGTGGCCCCTGTGCCTCTCCTGGGGGCCTTGGCCCCGTTAGAGGGGGACATTTGTGCGGCTACCTCCCGCACGGCTGCGTCCCCGGCTCTGAGGGGTCAGGAGCTGCTTCGTTCTCCCCTGGACCCAGCCCCGCCTGGCGCTTATTCGGAGCTCAGTACGAGGGTGTGGAGCGACTTAGATGAAGACATTCTTTGCCGAAACTCCGTGAATCCTGTCCTCACTTCGCCTGGCCTGTAGCAAAGGACTGAGGCTCTAGCGTGGGGCCCTGGGCTTCTTCCCATTCTCCTCACCTGCACAGGCCCCTCTGCCCGCGAAGATGGAGCGGCGAGGCCAGCGCGGGGGGCCCAGCCTCGCCCTTGTCCAGCTGCCTTTGCTGGAGCCTCCTCCCCTCCCCGATCCGCCCTCACACCCCCTGCCCTCCTGCTCTGTGGGCATCCTGCAACGGGGTGCCCGGCCCTGGTCTGGGTCTCGGGGTGACCAGTAGAACCTCCCACCACTGTCTATTTCAAAAGGCCCAACTCCAATCCGTCCCGGTCCTTTCTTAGCAAGGCCACATCATTTAACCGGGAGAGCAGGGTGATCACATCGGTGGGGCTGGAGTTAAAAACTGGAAGAGCACATTAGTGACTTCCCACACCGACAGATCTGAAAGGAACGCTGTTTCTGAGGTCGTGGTTCTGGAGGGGAGAACAGAGGACACGGTCCTGCACAGGGAAAGGGTGCACCCTCCCCCGGGTCACGGGCTCACCGTCCTTCTCCTCTGGTCCGCCCAGGAGGCTGTGTCCCGGGGGCTCCCGAGGCCGCGGCCGTGTGACGGGCGGTGTCGGCCCTGGGAGGGCGGCCAGGTAGCATGTGGAGAAGTGGGCTCTAAGCGTGCCTCCCCCTCTCGCTCGCTCCCCTGCACCAGCCCCGCCCCTGCCGCCTCTGCTTTAACCATCCCGGCCACTCTTCCTCCCAGAGGCGCTGTCCTCTCCTGGTACCAATGCCCTGAGTGGAGGTGACGGTGACGGGCTGCTCTAGCCGTCTGCGGACCTCAGCCAGGCAGGGCGTGTGTGTGCCCGCGGAGGGCAGGGAGGGGCACAGCGCTCACTCCAAGCTGGGGCTCGCCAGGGACACTGGTTTCCCCTCATGGCTTCCCAGAGAGAAAGCTGTGTGCCCGAGGCATTCCCAGAGCCAGCAGGGTGGGTGGCGGGGGAGGAACGGGGCGCTGTGCAGGCTCTGTCTAGCTCTGGGGGGCAGACCGGCGGTCGTGCGAGTCCCGGCGTGCCCCGGGCTGCCCGCGCCCACGGCCTCAGCGGCACTCCAGGGCGCAGAGCCAGGCCCTTCTGGGCCCCCAGCTGCCTACCCTGGGGGCAGGGCTAAGGCCAAGGGTCTTTATCCCATGAACTTGCCAGCAGAGGTGGGGTAGGTCTGGGACCGCTGCGCAAAGCCTTGGGCTGCTCAAGGGTCTCTGTGATCTTCCTTGCAGAGAATCACGTCCCTATTGACAGCCCCGGGGGAGCCGGCCTCGGCCTACATTTCCACGGTCTCCCCTGCGTTGCAGTGTTGCCCCGCTGGCCTTTCCCAGAGCCTCTTTCCTGCCCCAGGGCCTTTGCAGACACTGTTCCCTCTGCTTGCCGTGCTCTCCTCCCTCCCTCTTCTGTTGGGCCTCCTGCACCTGGCACCCACGCCTTGGTTCTGGCTCTGTCAGCTTCTGCCTGGATGATCGTCCCAGGCCTCCTCCAACCCCAACTCTACCTACAACCCAAGTCATCTTTCGGAGATGAAAATCTCAACGCGCCTCTTCCCCCGGGCGCCTCCTGCCCAGGGCATAAAGCCCGACCGGTTAGCGTGGCCCCGAGCCCTCCGTGACTGCACACCAGCTGCTTCGGCTGCCAGCCCTCCCCGCCCCGCGCCCGCCGTGCCCGTTCGTGCGAGTGCAGCAAGCCCCCAGGCTCCTTCAGCTTCGCTGCCCTTGCTCACAGCTCTCCGCTGTACCAACGCTGTTCCCTCAGCCTGGGCACCTTCTGCGCCCACTCCGCCTGCCCAGGCCGACCTCCTGGGGACCCCCGCTCCTCCTCTGCGTTCCCGGGGCACCTGGCGCTTGCCTGAGTCTCGGCGCCAGGCACCGACTGTCCGAACCCCCACACCTGGGGAGTCGCCGGTGCTCAGTTCGTGGAAGGACGAAGGGTGTGTAATATCCCTAGTCTCCAGCCACCCCCCCGCCCGCGTGCGCTCCATGCGCTGCACCTGGCGGTCCTCCCCTCCCCTGCCTCAGATCCCCCGGGCCCTCCCCAGTCCCCAGCACTCACGGGGGGCGCCGCTGCCGCTCCCCGTCTTGTCCTCAGCAGCCTCTGGCAGCCCCCGGGGGGTCTGCTGTCCAGCCAGGTGCTCCACCGGGGCCCACTGGGCAAGCAGCAGGCTGTGCAGGAGCTGGGGGGGTGGTGAGAAGCAGGGGTGGGGTGGGACGGGCTGGGCCGGCCTGCGTTCCCCAGGTCACACTGTGCCAACAGCCAGTTGTTAACACAATGACATATTCTCAGAATGGTTGTTCAATGGCCACTGCCCCCCGCACGCCCAGGGGCCTCCGATGACATCCCCCTGCTGAAGGACTGACGCCTACGAGGAAGGAGCCACCCTCGCTCCCGGGTGCATGCTGCACTGTGAGCCACGCAGGGGTGACTTGGGGCGCCTCCCCTGCGCCGGGGCACTCGGTGACTAGAAGGCAGGGGGGTAGAACGCGAGACAGCTGACGGCCCGAGGCAGAGGGGAGGGCTGGGGGCCTCCTGGGCGCAGGGCGGGGGCTGCCTGGTGCGGTGCCTACCTCACTGGGCATGCCCATGGGCAGCAGGGCTGGCCGGAAGAGGGCGGGGGCCCCCAGCAGCAAGTGGGGGGAAGGCGGTGCCCGCACCTCCCACAGAGGGTAGTTGATGACGATCAGCCTGCTGAAGTTGAACTTGTACGTGAACCTTTTGCCTTTGGTCTTGTGCAGGATCCTCTTATTGTAGTAATACCTGCAAAGGCGGGGGCTGAGTTGGCCTCGGGGGGCAGCGATGAAGCCAGAGGCCCCGCCGTGCCCCTCCCCAGGCCAGCGAGGTGAACCGCAGCTGTTTCTGCAGAACCACTGGGCATCGGCCACACTGGGGCGTCTCTCCCAAGCCTTGGGGGGCAGGGGTGCCAGCGACTTTGAACTCTGACCCCTCGGGGCCCCTCCCCCGCGGCAGCCGTTCTCACCTGAGGGCCCGGCTCAGCTTGTCGTAGTTCATCTGGGGTTTGCACTTCCTGCGGCCCCAGAGGCGGGCCACCTCATTGGGATCCTTGATGACAAACTCCCCGTATTCTCCCTGCTGCCAGGCAATGACATGGCGGAACTCTTCCTTCTGCAGCAGCTCCAGGATGAAGTGCCACAGCTGGATCTGCCGGGAGCCCGGGGAGGACTCGGCTTTGTAGGCCCAGTCCGGGAAGGCCAGGCCTGGGCGGAGGGGGTGTGAGTGCCACCCGGCTGCTCGGAGGCCCCCCTCCCCCCGGCCGCCCCTCTGCAGCTGGGCAGGGGGCTGCCTGGCAGACGCTCACCTGAGATCCAGGGCCTGCCCGGGCCGGCGGGGGCGCCCCCGGCCACACAGCCGCAGTGCATGGTCTTCTCGGGGGGGCAGTGAGGGCCGCGTCTGGGCCTTGCGGGAAATGGGCACTGCTGAGGTGGGAGGCGAAGAATGAAGGGAAGAGAAGCGGGGAGACTCGAGGGGCGAAAGGGGAACTGAGGCAGGGGCCTGGGGCGGCCGGCAGGAAGCTCCCCCCACCGCACCGAGGGCCAGCCCGGCCTCCTTTGGGGGCCTCCTCATGGCCAGGGCTTGGGGCCGAGCCACCTAAAGGGTGGATATTGGAGAGCAATGCAGAGGGTCCTCTTTCCTGCCCCGCCGGGGGATTTAGACAGAATGAGCTCTCTGCTCAGGGCTTAACGGGATTGGAGTTTTTCCCAAGTGAAGACAAGAGAAAATGTAATGAATCGTTGGCTCCTGGTAAACCTCGAGTAGATGCACAAACCCATAGCTCTGTGGCTTCGGTTGCGAGTCTGGGGAGAGCCGGGATTGTGCTTTCTCAGCCGGGGGTCTGCCGTGCCTGGCACACTGGGGGTGTCCAAGGAGGGACTGGCAAGAGCATCTGCGAGTGGTAAGGGAGTTATCAATGGCGCCTTTACGTGTCTTCCCCTCAGAGGGGTGGCTCGGCGCCATCGGGAACCCCGGCTGTCTGGTTCACGCCTGGCTCCCCAGAGGCCAGCCCAGCACAAGCCTTGGACTCGCAGGTGCTCTGTAAGTATTTGCTGAGTTACTGAACCCCGGGCTCAGAAGGGGGGATCTTGCCTGTCCCCAGTGCGGCGGGAGGCGAGGCAGGGGCCAGCGGTGAGATGGGGAGGAGGCTGGGGAGTGAGCCCCCACGGCATGAGCTTGCCTGAGGCAGGCCAAGGGAGGGGAGGAAATGGATCTGTCCCAGAGCCTTCCAGATGGGGCTGAGGCTGGTGCTCCAGGCCGGCTCCCACTGTCACTGAGGGCAGAGCGCCCAGGGAGCGTGGGGAGGATGCAGGGTGTGGGCCCGCTCGTGGCGTGGACAATCCCTGCACAGGCAGGACCACGTGTGCACTGGGCACCAGCTTACGTGACCTGCCTCCGAGTTTCCAGCTCGGGCGACGTCGGGGCGAGGCCGGCAGGTCTGAAGGGCATGTGGGGGCTTGTCTGGAGTAGCCTCCTCACTTTCCAGCCGGCTCACTGAGGGACAGCCACCTGAGGCAAGGGGCTTAGCCACTGTCCCTCCACTCCTAACGCACAGCACCTGCTCACACACCGTGTTGTCCTAAAGCTTACAAACCACCTGTCTAGAGCAGGGCTTCCCTAAGGATCCCCTGAGAATCTCTCCACAGTGCAGATTCTGATGCTGTGGGACTTGGTGGTGCCTGCGATTCTGCATTTCTAACAAGCTCCTAGGTCCGTGGACCCTGCTGTGAGTAGCAAGAGCCCGTGGGACAGAGCAGAAGGGGGAGTCAGGCTGGCTTGGGATCCCAGACACCTCAGCTGGCGAGACCCTCCCATCCCCCCACCCCAGAGGTCATGGGTCTCCTGCTCTTCCTTTCCCAGGGGATGCTTGCCTCCAGGGGGTCAACTGACAAACCTTCAGCTCCTGGGGGCAGGTGCTTCTGGGGGTCCCCAGTCTGGCCTGAGGAGAAAGCATCCCTGGAAATTAAGGTGGCCTAGCAGCGAGTGGGTCCACGCCCACTTGGAGTCTGTGGGAGTAGGTTTTCCCACCATCCCTCTGCCCGCTGACATTCTGTAACTTCTCCCGTTCCTTTCCGCCCCTGGAACAGACGTCCCCACCCATCTCCCACCTTCCTTTCCTGCCTGGTCCATTGGGAAGTTCCTCCTCTCTTACCACAAGTGGGTTGGGATCCCTCCCACCTCACCTTAGAAAAATGGGTTGGGAGATGGTGGGTGGTGGTGCAGGGAGGGGTGTGGAGGTAAGAGGTCCCAAGGGAAGACTGTTCTGTGGAGGGAGCTGGTGGGATTCCTACAGCTGCCCCCGTGCCAATAAGTCTGATGGGGTCTCCTGGTCTGGAGGATCGGAGACCTCAGGGTAGATCTAGGATCTGGCAAGAGGAGAATGATAGGGCGCCTGGGTGGCTCAGTCGGTTAAGCGTCTGCTTTCAGCTCGGGTCACGATCCCCGGGTCCTGGGATCGAGTCCCACATCAGGCTCCCTGCTCAGCGGGGAGCCTGCTTCTCCCTCTCCCTCTGCCCCTTCCCCGGCTTGTGCTCTCTCTCTCTCTCTCAAATAAATGAATAAAATCTTAAAAAAAAAAAAAAGGAGAATGATAAACCTACCGCAGAGCAGACCCTCAGTGCACCCTGCACCCTGCCCAGGAATTAGACATGCCCGCCCCGAAACATCGCCAGAAGTATACGAGGAGCTGGAGCTCAGAGGGGTCGAGGAACTTCTCTAAGGCCACACAGCTCTTAAGTGAAAGAGCAGAAAGCAAGACCTTAATTCAGGATTTATAATATTCTGCCACTCGGGTAGGCTATCAACACCCCCTGTCTGGCCCCCACAGGGAAAAAAACCCCAAATACAAAAACCAAAGTGGCATCCATAGCAGAGGTCAAGCCTGCCCTCCTTGCCCCTCCCCATTTCCTGCCTCCCCCGTGTTTGTGGGAGTCCCTCCCGGATCCCCAAGTCTCTGAGGAGCTTGGCACCTGGATGTGGACGTCCTCACTCCTGGTGAGTCCCTCCTGACGTCTCCCCTCAAGCCCCTCCTTTTGTGTGGGAGCCCCGAGGAGCTGACCCAGCCTCAGACAGGCTCTCCCTTCCCTCTAACCCCTGCTGTGGTGGTGAGGCTCCCGAGGCCGGGGAGGCGCCCCGCTCTGTCCCCTACCCCTCCACCCCAGGCCCCCCGCTTCCTCCCTCCGGTGTTGTGAGCCCAGCGTGCCGGGCTTGGGGGGCCGGGCCAGGCTCTCGCAGCCCCGACAGCTCTGGGCCGGCCTGGAGAACTGTCCATCACAAAGGGTCCTAACCCAGTCTGGGACGGCCAGCGTGGCCCTTGGAAGCGCTTTGTGTCGTTGGAAGGGCTAGCTGGAGCAGCGCGTCCGAGGCCTGCTTACCGAGAGTTCCAGCAGCCTCCTTGGACCGTGCGAGTGCTCATTACAACACATGTAGGTTTTAGGTCAGGATTTAATAAAGCAGCATAAGAATGCTGGCAACAAGAGAGTAAGCCTTACGCCAGGGCTTGGAGCTGAAGGAAAGGTCTCAGGCAGAGCTTCTCTTTCTGAGAGTTGAGTCAGTATGAATTGGGCCCCTATCCCGCCCGGCACCGTGCCTGACCGTACCCCCCACCCCATGCTACTGCACTGAATCTTCACAATAACCCCTTGACGTGGCCATCCACATCCCCGCTTTACAAGGGTTGGAAATTGAGGCTCCAAAGAGTAGGAGACTTGCCTAAGATCCCAGGGCAGGTGGCGGAGCCGGCTAGCCCGGAACAGGGCTGTCTGACTCGGAGCTCTGAGCTGTCGTCAGTCAATGGGGCAGAAGCTGACCTCGAGGAGCGGAGCGGCGTGGGCGGTGGGGCCCCGGGCCCTGGGAGCCTCCCCGGTCTCAGCTGAGCTGTGAAGCCTGGGGACCCTCAGTCAGATGGGAGGGGATGAGAAAGACAGGGACACACTCAGAAGAAAAAAAAGTTGCGAGTTCAAGACCAATGCTGCCTACCTATCTGAAAAGCAAAACTTGCATCAAAAATGACTCTGTTGTTGGGCCTTCTAAGAGGCTGGCCCGTCTGGTTGATTGGCCTCAGCCGGGTCCTCTCAGTGAGCCCCTCACTGATTCAGCGGGAGAGTAGCGGAGAGAAAGAGTGCCTGCTGGGCTGGGGGCCGTGACCGAGAGCCGGTGGTGGACACAGGCCAGGACGGAAGGGTCACAGTGGGGAGACCAACCCAGAGGGGTACAGTGGAAACACAGAGATGACAGCCTCCAGGTGGGGGGTGGGGATTATGCTGGTCAGCACTGAGCAAACTGCGCACCCCCACCCCTCCACCAAATCCCCAATCTGATTAGAAGCCTCTGGTCTGTCCCCTTGATCTCAGTCCCAAGTGGAGAGTAGGTAGTCCTGAGACCTCCCTTAATGCTATTAGCTAAAGCTGCTTAGGTAGGAGTGCGAGGGGCCTGGGGTCTGGGGAGGGCAAGCCAACCACCTTTTCCCCTGGGGAGTTTGGGGGAGGGGCAGGGATAGATGTTCTTTCTTCCCCGAGCCCCCAGGGCATCTTGTCCCTTCTGCCAGGTCACCAAACCCAGGGAGCCCTTCTTGATTGTCCACCAGCTGCCCCCCACCTCTCCCCTGTAACATCAGCCCTTCCTGCCCACGCCCCTACCCAGAGAGACGCCCCTCCTTGCTGCTCCCCCAGGAGGGTCCCCAGGCAGCCCTGCTTCTCCCACACCTCTGTTTCCCCCTCCAGGGGCCCTTGGGTTTCAGGTCGCTGCCCACCCCCCACCCCAGCCCCAGCCCCTTGCAGACCCTCCAACTCTGGTCTCTGCGTCCCTGGGGACCGTGGGCTTTAAAAGGTTTGTGCAACTGTGGGGAGCAGAAATGCAAAGCCAGACACCCCCAGGCCCTACCCCAGACCTGTCAGAAGGGCAGCTGAAGGTCTTGGGGAAGGTGGCCCAGCCCTGGGGCCCAGGGGTTGGGGGAAGGGCACTGGGGGTCATGAGGCAGGCTCCCAGCCCCACACCCTCCCCTCCCCCCATCCCCTTTCTGGTCTCTGTTTCACTTGGTTTGACCTTTTCATCTTCAGCTCATTTCCTGCTCCCTGACTGTTTCTTCTCTCTCCTTTCCAGTCCCCGTCCACCAGGCTTCTAGAGTCTTCCTTTCCGGCGTCTCTGTGGTCCATTCTTTTCTGTCTCGGTTTCGAGGCTCTTCCTTTTCTGTCTTTATTTCTCAAGACCGCGCCATGCCCCTTGCCCCATCCCCTCCTCCGGCCTGTCTTCCCGTCCTCTCCCGCCCTCTGTCTCACCCATGCTTCGGAGCTGGAAACTGAATGCAGGCCCCCAGCTCCCTGGCCCCGGCTCGGCAGCCCCCTCGCACCGCCAGCCTCTCTCCCAGCGC